GAAATATTTGATAAAATACAACCTATCTTCATATCAAAACACTTAGAAAAATAGAGGTACAAATAATATTCCTTAGCACAAAAACAGACATGTTAAACAGACCCACTGAGAACATCATAGTGAATAGGGGAAAGCTGAAAACTTTCCCATTAAAATCTGTAACAGCCAAACCTGTCCAGTTCTCCACTCCTTTTCGACATAGTGCTGAAAGTCCTAACCAATGGAATCAGACACAGGAGCAAAATAAAAGACATTTGATAAGAAAAGAGGCTAAACTGTCCCTATTTGTAGATGATATGATTATATACATAGAAAATCCCAAAGAATCCCCTAAACAAACAAGCAAATAAATAAATCCTCCTGGAAGTAATAAATGAATTCAGTAAAAAAGCAGGATACAAAATCATTATACAAAAATATATAGCTTTTTAAAATTATTATTTATTTTTAAGAGGTTTTTGCCTTAGGGCACATGTGCTCCCTGGAGAGAGAGAGGGAGACAGTGAGAGGGAAAGTGAGAAATCATGCCCCAGGGGAGATGGCCATGCTACAATCCCTTCTCCTTCATTTTCTTCCAGGGATCTCAGGCATGCACACATATTCACCCACCATGATTTTCAAGTCACTAGGTTGGAAACTCAAACCATTGTCTGTCACGTGCGAATCCAGTGATGTTGCCATTGTTCCACCTGCTGGCCCCAATCTATAGCATTTTTATACATCAAGAATGAACAAACCAAGGGAACCAGCAGTTAGCGTAATGGCTATGTCGCTGGACTCCCACATAGTCAACCACGGTTCGCGTCCTGGACCCGGTGGCTTAAAACTCACGCCGGGCCCGTGTGCATGCATGCCCAAGATCCCGAGAGGAGAATGGAGGAGAAGGGATTGCGACGTGACCATCCCCTCTGGGGGGTGATTTCTCGCTTTCTGTCTCTATGTCTCTCTCTGTCTGGCGAGCGCACATGCCCTATAGCAAAAAAAAAAAAAAAAAGAATGAACAAACCAAGACGGAATTGAGGAAACCAATAATAATAATCATGATAGCCGCAAACCAAATAAGATACTTAAAAATAAACCTAACTTAGAGGTGAAAGATCTTCACAAGGAAAACTATGAAAAAATGAAAAATGAAATTGAGTATAATATAAAAAAATGGAAAGACATCACATGTTTTTGAGTTAGAAGAGCCAATATAATCAAACTGTCAGTTCTACCCAAATTAATTTATATAGTCAATGTAATTTCAACCAGTCGTCAGTGACATTTTTCATCAAAATAGAAGAAAACAATTATAAAATTTGTCTAGGCTCATAAAAGACACTGTAACATCAAGGCAATACTGTGCAAAAAGAATAAAGAAGGAGACATCTCACTGCCTGAATTTAACATATATTACAAAGTAGTGATAATGAAGACAAGATGGTATTGACATAAAAATAGAAACATCCACCAATGAAACAGAATAGAGAATTCAGAAATAAGCCCCATATCGTACAGCCTGCATGTCTTTGACAAAGTGTACAAAACAATGCATTTTAAAAAGAAAGCTTTATCAGCAAATGGTGCTGGGGAAACTGAATATTCACCTGCAGAAAAATAAAACTGGATCCCTGTTTCTTACCATTAATGAGTATCAGTTCAAAAACAATCAATGATTTAAATGTAAAGCCTCAAACTATAAAACTATTGATAGAAAACTTTGGGAAAACTCTTTAAGACATTGGATTAGGAAACTATTTCTTAAATAAGACCCCTAAAACACAGGCAATAATCCCAAAACTAAACAAGTGGGATTACATCAAGCTAAAATGCTTCTTCATAGCAAAGGAATCAATTATAATTAGAGTGAACAAACAATCTCAAAATGGGAGAAAATATTTGCACATTATTCCAACACAAGGGATTGATAACCAGAATATATAGGAAACTCAAACAGCTCACCCATAAATGAATATTCCAATTTTAAAAAATAGGCAAATTGGACCAGCAGTAAGTGAAATGGCTATGTTGTTTACTTCCATGTAGTCGACTGCAGTTCGAGTCCTGGACCTGGTGGCTTAAACTTACACCGGGTGCACGTGCGTGCATGCCCAAGATCCCAAGAAGAGAATGGAGGAGAAGGGATTGCGACGTGGCCATCTCCCCTGGAGGGTGATTTCTCGCTTTCTGTCTCTCTGTCTCTCTCTGTCTTTCCGGTGAGCGCACGCGCCCTATAGCTAAAAACTTCCCCCCAAAAAAAGAAAAACAAATAGGCAAATGAACTGAATAGACAGCTCTCCATTGAAGACTTGCAAATGGCCAAAAGACATATGAAAAAATGTTTATAGTCTCTTGTCGTATAGGTAATACAAATTAAAACCACGACAAGTTTTCATTTAACCTCAGAATGACTAGGATCAAAAACACAAAAAATGGGGAGCCAGCAGTTAGCGTAATGGCTATGTCGCTGGACTCCCACGTAGTTGACCGTGGTTCACGTCCCGGACCCGGTGGCTAAAAACTCATGCCGGGCGCATGTGCGTGCGTGCCCAAGATCCTGAGAGGAGAATGGAGGAGAAGGGATTGAGGCGTGACCATCCCCCCTGGGGGGGTGATTTCTTGCTTTCTGTCTCTATGTCTCTCTCTGTCTGTCTGGCGAGCGCATGTGCCCTATAGCAAAAAACCTCTCAAAAAAAAAAAAAAAAAAACCCACAAAGAATGACAAATGCTGTGAGGCTGTGGTGAAAAGGGAATCCTCTTATCTTGCTGGTGGGAATGTAATTTAGTACAACTTCTATGGAAAACTATATAGAAGTTCCTTAAAAACTTGCAAATATAACTACTAGTTGACCTAGAAATTCTATTCTTTAGTATCAACCATAAGAATAGGAAACAGAACGACACTTGCACATCCATGTTAATAGCAGCATTATCCATAATAGTCAAGATATGGAATCAGCTTAAGCGTACAAAACCTGATGACTAGGTTGAAAGGCTATGGCACACATGTCAGCAGATGACATAGTGGTTACATTGCTCACTGGACTCCCACATGGCCAACTGTGGTTCAGATCCTGGCTTGAAAACCATGCTGAGCACTATGTTTCCCTTCCCACAATCCCAGGAGGAAAATGGAGGAGAATGAATAGAGGTTTCCCTCTCAGTCTGTATCTCTTGCTGGCATGTGTATGTGCTCTAAGGCAGAAACCTCTTAAAAACAGAAAAAGAAAAGAAAAACCACAGCACAAATACACTATGAAATATTACTAAATCATAAGAAAAAAATGATACACTAATATTTGATTCAAAGTGAATGAATATAGAGAATGCTATTTATAAGAGGCAGGCTTTGAAAAATAAACACTGTAGGGAACCAGCAGTTGGCGTAATGGCTATGTCGCTGGACTCCCACGTAGTCGACCGTGGTTCGCTTCCTGGACCCGGTGGCTTAAAACTCACGCTGGGCATGTGTGCGTGCATGCCCAAGATCCCGAGGGAAGAATGGAGGAGAAGGGATTGTGGCGTGACCATCCTCCCTGGGGGGTGATTTCTCGTTTTCTGTCTCTATGTCTCTCTCTGTCTGTCTGGCGAGCACACTTGCCCTATCGAGAAAATCTCTCCAAAAATAAAAAAATAAAAATAAATAAACACTGTATATTCCCACTCAATATGTACTGACTATTTCTGTCTGAAATAGGGTTATATAGAGTTATAGAGTTGATAAGTGATAATCACAAGATACAGACATACTTGACCAGGGTATTTCCTTTTTTAAAAAAATTGTCAAAGAGCACATGTGCTCTTCAGAGAGAAACAGACAAAGAAAGATAAAAAATGAGAAAGCACTGCCCCATCCCTGCAGGGGGGAAGACCATGTCACAATCTCTTCCCCATTCTCTTCTCAGGATTTTAGGCATGTACACATATGTCCAAACATGTTTTTCAAGTCATAGGATCCAGGATTCAAGCCCAGCACTCAGCCATGTGGGATCTAGCATGCCTGCTAGGGCAATTTCAATTGTCCCTTGGAATCCTTTAGAACGTAATCATTCAGAATTTTCTTACTTCCAAAATGACACGGACTTGTCTACCTCAGAAATTCTTGTCCCTTGGAATCCTTTAGAACGTAATCATGCAGAATTTTCTTACTTCCAAAATGACACCGACTTGTCTACCTCAGAAATTCTTTTAATTATTGTCCCTCTGCTTATAATTATTTCCTATGCTCAATTTACTACTTCAAATCGGTGACCAAATATTTATAGAATTCTTTCTTTTGCAACTTGTTTTTTTTTGATGTTTTTTTTTTTTTTTTTTTTTTTTGCTATAGATTGCTTGCGCTTGCCAGACAGACCACAGAGAGAGACAGAAAGCAGGAAATCACCCCCCAGGGGGGATGGCCACACCACAATCCCTTCTCCTCCATTCTCCTCTACGGATCTTGGGCACGCACGCACACGCGCCTGCCGTGAGTTTAAGCCACCGGGTCCGGGACTTGAACTGTGGTCAACTATGTGGGAGCCCAGTGACATAGCCATTACGCTAACTGCTGGTCCCTAGACTTTTTGCTCTGAAGAGTACCCCTCAGTCTTTTCACTTCAGGATTGTTTTGCTGCTTATTATAAATTATTTGAGTGCTGAATTAATTATTACTATAGAAATTACTGAATTTGCTATGAAATACAAGGCACCCAAATGTACTCAAAAAAAAAAAAACACTCAATCAAATGATAATATATTTGAAATAATGCTGAATTAAAGATTGAACAAAAATTTGTTAAAATTGAAAGGATCAAGAAAATTTCTACAAAAGGAGAATGCTATACATTAATAGAAGACAAATGATGAACCATAGCATGTTTAAGGAATGGCAACATTTACTTATGATAAAATATTAGTACCAATTGTAATTTTATTACAATGAACTATTTGACATAATTTTTCTCATGTATCATGGGATATGATTTTACAAAAACGACCACTATCAATATTTGCATACATATATGTAACACTGGTGTTTAAAACCACCTTCTATTTTTCAGCTTTTCTAGGGCCTCTTTCACATCCTTGTTTCGTAAACTATATATCAGAGGGTTCAACATGGGAATCACAAGGGTGTAAAACAATGAAGTCAATTTGTCTTGATCTAAAGAGTAGGAAGAACTTGGTCGGAAATACATGAAAATCACAGTTCCCTGGAAAATTGCTACAGCAACTAAGTGGGAGGTACAAGTGGAGAAAGCTTTGAATCTCCCCTCAGCAGAATGGATCTTTAGGACTGATAAGATGATGTAGCAGTAAGAAATGAGAACTCCTAAAATGGAACTCAGTTCAATGAAACCAAAAATGGTGAATGTCACTAACTCATTAACCTGTATATCAGAACAGGAAAGGAGGTAAAGAGGAGGCAAATCACAGAAGAAATGATTAATCTCATTGGACCCACAGAAACATAACTGAAAGGCTAATGTCGTGTATATCACAGCATCTGTCATTCCGATCAGGTAAGTCACAACCATGAGCATGGAGCACACCTTCATGGACATGCTAGCTGAATAGAGCAAAGGGTTGCTGATGGCCTTGTACCGATCAAAAGCCATCACGGCCAGCAGTAGACACTCTGAATCTACAAAGGCACAGGCAATGAAGAGTTGCAGCGCACAGCCAATGAAAGGAATGGATTTTTTCTTGGCCAAGAGGTCCACCAGCATCTTGGGGCCAATTGCAGTGGAATAGCAGAGATCACAGAAGGAGAGGTGACTGAGGAAGAAATACATGGGTGTATGAAGTTGGGCATCCATTCTTATCAAAATGATCATTCCCAGATTTGCCAGAAAGTTAGTAAGATAAACAACTAGAAATAGGACAAATAGAGTCACTTTCATTCCAGGCTTACTGGTTATTCCCAAGAAAATGAATTCACTAATAGAGGAGCAATTTCCCACGTCCATTCTTCTTTCATTTTATCTAAACATTTGGGAAAATAATAAAAAAATACAAATATGTTTAATTCTTATGCACATAAATAAATTATCTGTTAAGAGAGAACTCCATTTATTTATAACTTAAAACAAAATTTATCAGACAGTTGTGTACGAACCAGGGAGAAAGAAAAAGACAAAGAGGGGGAGAGTGAGAAAAAGCAAGAAAGCACCCTCCATGGGGCACAATCACACCACAATCCCTTCTCTCTTCTCCCTCCTTTACACATGCCTAACAAGTTTTCAAACTGCAGGTCAAGGACTCAAACAATCATTGGCCGAATGGGATTCAGCCACTTTAACCAGAAACATGACTGGTCTTATACTTCTGTTTTTTATTCTCTGAAAAATTCTCATACAAAAGGTCATTCTTTAAAGAGAGAGTGTGTTCAATAAAAGATATAAAAGCAGATTATCTAATGTTCAAGAATGATAAAATGCTTGGGACCAGCAGTTAGCATAATGGCTGTGTCACTGAATTCCCACATAGCTGACTGCAGTTCATGTCCTGGAACCGGTGGCTTAAACTCACACCAGGTGCGTGTGCGTGTGTGCCCAAGATCCCGAGAGGAGAAGGGATTGCGGCGTGACCATCTCCCCTGGGGGGGTGATTTCTCGTTTTCTGTCTCTCTGTTTCTCTCTGTCTTTCTGGCGCGCGCACACACCCTATAGCAAAAAAAGAATGGTAGAACGCTTTTAAAAAATAAATATACACAAAACCAGGAAAAAAAATTTTAAAAAAAGAGAGAGTGTGTTTATTTGACAATAAAATGTATCTGACACAGGCAGTTGATAAACTTTAGTTTAAATCAAGGTGTCATTTATCAGGTATGTGACTTTATTTAAGTTCTTTCATTTCTCTGGGATTTACTTTTCTTATACAAGTAAACGTATTTTAATGTATTAAAATTTAATTACGTTTTATAAATAATATGAAAGAAACACCAATTTTAGCAAGACCCGAATATAAGAAACAGGACTAAGTATTTGCTATGCTTGAAAACATTCACATGGATACAAAAATATTACCAATAATTATGTGCCTCAAATTAAATGATTGGTTTGAAAAACCATTATATTTGCCCTTAAAATAATAAGCTTATCACTGACTAATGATAATAATAATTATTATTATACTCTTCTTGGTCTGTGTTGTCTTTCAAATTTGATGAGACAGGAAATAAATATTATTGACCCTTTCTTCCTAGAAATCTGTATAGCTTCGCCACAGTGCACATTATCTATTTTTGGTAGTGGTCTGGTGCCATGGAATAAGCCTCTTCAACAGTCAAATAAAGTGCTAAGAAGAAGTGAGTACAACAATATTTAGCACATACACCAACATCTCTTTACATTTTTAAATGAACATCTATGTTAAAAAATGAAAATGAGACGTGAGGTAAAATATTTTGAGACTTCCCTTCCTTCTGTAGGTGTGTTTTTATGTGTCCATATCATGAATGTGAAGGTGTATATGTCCCTTTGTTGATATTGAGAATTAGACTCTGGGTGAAGGATGTTAATGTCTTTAGGCATAAGTAAATAAAGATCTTATGAAGTTCACATGAAATTGAATTTGCACAAGTTATTTGTAGCTCAATTATTTTTCAAATAAAACTAACAAAAAATTCTTTAAATTCATGTATCTAATTGCAGAAAGAAAGAATAAATACTCTGTTGTGGGTATATGTTAAAATAATTAAAAATATTATTTTGTGGATACTAAGAAGTTCAACCATATTCTTCCTGTTCTGAGGGGAAAAAATTTTAAAGCATGATTTTCACCTTTATGTTATAATTTAAAAATTGAGTAAGTATAATATAATTTGTACAAATTTGAATTTTTCCCCCGAAGATAAGATTGTACCCCTTATATTATTTAAATTTAAAGAGTCAGAAACCTACCTGAGATAACCAGGTATTGTGGTAGGTGAACACAAGGAATATAGCATTTTATTTTACCAGATATCCCTTGGGACTTAAGTCTCTGAAGCTTCTGCACTCTCTGCCTTGATTTCTGTATAAACATGATCAATTATATACTTGGATCTGTATTTCCCTCTGTGAATATACCAACATATTTATCAGTGATTGAACTTTAGTATTTCATTATAGTTACCTACTTGATCAATGTCAAAAAGAAACTGGCAAATTATTTTTATGTTATACTTCATAATTACCATGAATCTGTACCCTCCCTTTCTGGTCAAACAGAAATATAATAAAATTCAAATAAATCCCCTTCTTAGTCATTTCAAACACTTTTTTAATATTCATTTTGTTTCTTCCATTTTTCCAGTATTTTCTTTTATCAATGTATCTCAAAATATTAGTGCTGTCTGATGAAATTGTTGGGACTTTTGTTAAGGCATAATCGATAAATAATAATATTTACCTTTTGGGACCAGCATAGTGTTTAAGGGCACTGGACTCCC